AAATGAAAAACACCAAAAGGGTTCATCATAAGCCCAGCCAGTAGTCACTGAGAAAATAATAATCATGTTGGGCCCCTCTGATTTCTTCATGTCTAGCTAGATTCTCTGGGCAGGTTTTACTTACCTGTTCAGGGTCCCTATGTGGGAGCTGGCTCAGACCTATAGAGGACCCTCTAATCCTGCTCAAATTGTCACATATGCCCAAGAATGGGCTCTTGAGTATGCCAGACAGAATGAGTAGAAATCAGTGGTTTCTGAGAAGCCATGGACTCTAACTCAGGGGGACATTGGAATCTCCAAGACCCCTAAAAAGTGAGAATGTGGCAAGGCTTGAGGCCCCACTACAGCCTAGAGTTTGTGATGATGATTAAATTCTGGGAAGTCTCAGAATGTGGGAGATTCATTCATTTATTCATACAGATATGTTTATGCCGTTTGTCAGGTTGAATGATAAGCAAATGCAGATACAGTCCTTGATCTCTAGTGCTTACAAACTCATGAGAAAATAGGCATAATCAAATTAATAAAATATTACAACCTGATATATGAAAGCATTAAAGAAAAAACAACCTGAACTTGTCAGGAGATCTCAAGATGCCTCTGAAAAACTGTGATGTGTAGGCTTTGATCTTTTTTGTTTAACTCCTTCCAACAGGAGTTAAACAGGGGATGGGGAGGTGGGAGAAGTGTTGCACAGGGAGGGAACAGCCCGTGCAAAGACCCTGGGGTGAGAAGGCACATTCAAGTATTTAATAGCTGGAAGAAGGCATGTTTGGAAAATGAGGGAGAGAGGAGTGAGAGGTATAGCAGAGGAGGTGGGAAGGAGCCAGACTGTGCAAGGTCTTAGAGGACTTTTAGAGATTTTGGTCTTTTGCCTATCTGCAATGGGAAGTTACTGAAGGATTTTTAATCAGGGGTATGACATGATCATATTTGTATTTTGAACAGATCACTCTGGCTGCCGTGGGGAGGACATATTGAATAGTACCAGAGCCCGGCTAGCTTACTCAAAAGGCTATAGAAACAATCCAAAGAAGAAAATGGTAGTATTGACTAGGCTGGTGGCAGTGGAGGACGGAGAGCAGTGGACGGGTTTGAAATGATGGTGTTATTCCTTCAGATAGGGAACCTTAGGATAGGGCTATATTTGCAAGGAAGTTCTTGATTTAAGTCTTGAGTTGAAGTACCTTTGAGATACGTGAGTAGAAATATTGGTCAGGTGGACACACAGATATAATTCATGTATTCAACTTACATTTACTGACTACCTACTACAGGTTAGATACTCTATTAAGAATGGTATGGTACAGCAAAATATATTGAACTTGGATTCTTCTCTCAAGGAGTTTAAAATTTATTAGACAGTCATGATGAATGATTGGACATTTAAGGATAGCTGTCTTTAAATATTTGAATATGTGAAGGTGAACTTAGTCTGTGTTGCTCCAGAAGGCATAACAAATACAAAGAGATGAAGTTATGGGAGGCAGATTTTGATTTGGTATAGGAAAGATTTTTTAAAATAAGAATTATTGAAAATATTTGAATTGAGACTGGATGATCATTTATTCATTCAATATTTAATGAACATTAAACTAAATGAAGAGATTTCTACTTGACTTTTAAGATCCTTTCTTACTTTCAAATTCAATGGTTCTAATTTTCTGCTTAAAATCTTGATTGTTCAGAGTGAAGGTCACAACTTGATTTCCTTGAGTCCATTTTTTTTATTTGGACCCTACCTGAAAGCTTTCAAGATGGTATAAGGAGGACTTTCTCAAGGCTGTGGCACCTTCTGAATTAGCAATGTGTTATATGACAGAAGTAACATTCTCTTTGTTGCCGGTCTCTGGCCTTCTCTGATGCAGAGGAAGTGGCATATTCACATGGTTTCAGATTCCCTTATTTTCTCTTGCCTTTTCACTCATAGCCATGGTTTCACAATGTTGGGTGACCACTTTGTGAGGGCAGCCATGATGCCTTCTGGCTGCCTTTGGGCATCAGATAGGAATCTTCTTTTTCTAGCCATTCAGCATGGCCAAGGTTTCTTCTTGGGAGCCTTGTGAGAGTGGCAAACCTATTCCTATGCCTGACAGTCAAATTCAGTCTTTTTGAGGGTTGGCAGACACTCTTTGAGATTTCTCTTCACTGCTCTGAACTCTTCCAAGTCATCCCTTCTCATGATGGATAAGAATCACAGAAAGCAGAACAATGGAGGCAACAATAATATGAATTTAGTCAACTCTCAATTGCCTTTACCAATGGATGGGGAAGGAAATTAACAATACAGGCCAGGCACAGTGGCATACGCCTGTTATCCCAGCACTTTGGGAGGCTGAGGCAGGAGGATTGCCTGAGGTCAAGGCCAGCCTGGCCAACATGGCGAAACTCCATCTCTACTAAAAATACAAAAATTAGCTGGGTGTGGTAGTGGGAACCTGTAATCCCAGCTACTGGGGAGGCTGAGGCAGGAGAATTGCTTGAATCTGGGAGGCGGGGGTTGGAGTGAGCTAAGATCACGGCACTGCACTCCAGCTTGGGTGACAGAATGAGACTCCATTTAAAAAAAAAAAAAAAAGAACATGAACAATACAAGAATAATAACTGGTGTTCATGTCACTCATTTGGCTTTGGGATTTCTGCAGAGACACTTGGTCGATGCCCATACTATGCTAGGGCCTTCAGTGGCCCTGTCTCCACCTAAGTCTGAGGCTTCAGATGTTACATAAAATGCTTCCTTAATTACCTGCTAGTTAGTGCAGGAATTATTTAAATTTCTCCAGGTTTTTAACTTTAATTTTTGTCTGGTTTCTTTTTTCATTGTTTGTGCCCAGACCCTCAGATTGTCGGGCAGTCCAGCTATTTTCTCCCAGGATTCCCTCCTCCTCGTCTCCAGGCTATTTTTCATGCTCATCCCAGGCCAACCTCAGGTTCTATGTTACCCCACCCCAACATGGGCCAGAACTTCATGTGCTCATTCATCTTACAGGAGGAATGGACCACTGGAGGCATATATTCTTGTATTTCCTGTTCCTCTTCTTCCCAATCAGACTTAACCAGACACCGATAATTTGTGGATTTTTTTTTTTTTTGGCTTGATCTTGAATTGAAGGTATGTGGTGCAAGATTCTGGGTTTCCATGGATAATCCATCATGGTGTTGTAAAAAGTATATTGACTCAGTAAATATTAACTCATTTACTTATTTGCTTGTGGATGAATGAGAAATGATAAAACCTAGAATTTATGTAATACCGTCCTCTAAGAAGCATACAAAGACTCACTATCACCCCAATGAGAATATTTATTATATTAGTAACACAAATAATCTGTAAGCTGAATTGGGGATGACTGACTGCCCATCAGTGAGCCCCACACCTGGTTGTACATCAGAATCCCTTCAGGAGATTTTTTTTACAAATATAGATTCTTAGGTGACATTTGGGGAAAATGCATTTATATTTTTATCACCTCCACGAATGTTTTCAATAATGATGAATGCCTAGGCCACTGTTTCTCAAACCTTAATATACATATAATTTACCTGGGGAGTTTTGTTTAAAATGCAGTTTCTGATTCAGTGTGTCTAGGATAGTGCACGAGATTCTGCATTCTGGAAACCTTCCAGGTGATGCTGATTATGTTTGTCTAGACTACACTTGGAATAGCAAGGTCTTAAGCCAGTGGCTTTCAACCCCAGGGGGAGGGAAGAGCAAGAGGAGAGGAAGGAGGTTGAGTTACCTGGGAAGCCAGAGTTTCAAGCCCACACTGATTCAATCAAAATCTCTGGAGATGTATACTAGACATTAGTATTTTCAAAGGATATCCCCAGGTGATTCAAATATGTAGACAGAGTTGAGAACCATTATTTTAGAGAATCCTTAACCACATCTAATGTCCATTTCTCTGTAGTCAGGGTAGGAGAGCCTGCGCACATGTCACATGGTGAGAGAGGGAGTAAGAGAGACAGGAGAAGGTACCAGCCTCCTTTTAAACAATCAGCTCGCCTTGAACTAATAGAGTGAGAACCCATTCATCACCAAGGGGATGGAGCTAAGCCATTCATGAAGGATCTTCCCCCATGAACCAACATCTTCCACTAGGTCCCACCTCCAACGCTGGGAATTACATTTATACATGAGATCTGGAGGGAACACACACCCAAACCATATTAGCCTGTTAATATCCACATGAGTGAACTTCTTCAAGTTGAGCCTTGAGATGACTACAGCCATAGGTAACACTCTGATGGAAGCCTGATGAGTGGCCTTGAGCCAGAGGATGCAGCTAAGCCACACTTGGATTTTTTACCCACAGAAACTGAGATAATAAATGTTGTTCTGAGCCTCTAAGTTTTGAGGTGATTTGTATGTGACAATAGATAACTAGTATACCCACCCTGAAATACCCTTCCTCTTCCTTCCTACTTATCCAAGTCATGCCTCTTTTAAGCCTCAGCTATTCTAAGACAATTTTCTTAGTGTGGTATTTATACTACACAACCCTGAAAAAGAATGAAATAACATCTTTTGCAGCAACATAGATGGAACTGAAGGCCATTATCCTAAGTAAAATTTCCCAGAAATAGAAAGTCAAATACTGTGTGTTCTCACTTATAAGTGGGGTCTAGATGATGTGCACACATGGAAATGCAGAGTAGAACCATAGACACCGTAAGACTCTAACAGGTGGGAGCATGAGAGGGAAGTGAGGGTTGAAAAATTACCTATTGAGTACCATGGTCACTCTTTGGGTAATGGGTACACTAAAAGCCCAGGCTTCACCACTACGCAATATATGCATGTGAGAAATCTACACTTAAACTAAGCATATACAAATAAAATTTTTTTTACAAAAGCAAAAAAAGTTAACAAAATTTCTTTTCTTTTTTTTTTTTTGAGTCAGGGTCTCATTCCTTTACCCAGGCTGTAGTGCAATGATGTGATCATTCACTGCAGTCTTGAACCTAAGAAACTTTTCTCATAGTGATTGGTCCTTTTATAAACTCCTAGAGCACCGCACACAAAATCACTAACCCTCATTATCATACGTGCTGTCTTACATTTTTGTATTCTTTGTATCTTTGTACTGTCCAATGCCCTGTCTTTTAAAAATAAATTGGAAACACATTGATGACAATAGAACTTTGACTAGAAGCTGCCTTAGAACTTTGCGATTCCCACGACCAATCCCAATACCATGAACAATAAGTACCCTACAAAAAATATGTGATGAGGATGATAGTGCCTTGGAAGAAATGTTGTATAGAAGGTGTCAGGAGGGCCGACTTTCAGTTGTAATTTTCACATTTATGTCTACTCTGTGTCCTAATGCCTGAATTTTAACCTTAGGTGGGGAGAGGATTCCAGACAGATATTTGAGCAGAACAAAGAGCGTCAACAGGATGAAGGCACTCCCTAGATTAGTGTTTAATGTTTATATCTTTAAGCCCCTCTGCCTACTTGTCTGCTCAGTGGGTTCCTCCAGGTCTTTGCTCCCTGCAGTCTCAGACCTTCTTGGCTTACCCATTTCAACGTGGGACTCAGAAATCAAATAATTATTTTCAATTTAGCTGACTCATACCCAATTCAGAAATTCCACATTGCCACAAGTATTTGTCTCTAAGATCTCCCTCAGCAACCAGCGTGAAGGGAGCCTGTGCATTGCCTCTTTCTGCTTATCCCCACAGGTCCCCAGGACTCCTTGGCAGCTAAGGGAAGATATAAAACACTCAATACCTGAAATAGTTGTGGAAACATTTCAGAAAATGACTCTATTCACCCTTCTTCACAGAGTAAGAATTAAAGCTATCTCTAATAGCTTTGGAAATTTTGATTAGCACGGTAATGGAAAACCATCCTTGCTTTATCTGGCTTATGCACACGAACGCTTTAACAATAAAGACTGCAATGAGCTACAGCACTCTTGATAGTTAAAGTTCTGTTTATCTCAGCCTGCCTCCACAATGAGAAGGCCTATTCAGTATTAAAAGCTGTTATTTTCAACCTTTCCTCAGGAGCCTATGAGAGACAGGTGCAGGACCCCCCTCCCCCCGCCCACCCACTGCCACATCTCTCCACGTAAATCCTAACAGTCTCTTCTGCCCTCTTCAACTGATAAAGAAGGCCCCTTGAAGCTAACTGCAAAGATAAGGTCCTTGCCCCCACTTCAGCTGCTGGCCTCTTTTATCAGATGTTACTGGTGAAGTGATCAGGCAGCCTCATCTCAGGTGTGGCGCATTTTAGCCCAGGGTGCTCTTGAATTGGATCTGCCAACTCAGTTTGGCCCTAGGGTTTCTGAAGCAGTCAGAGATGGAGCCGCAGCACTGTGGATGTCAGACGCACAGTAGTAAGTCCCAACATCTTTTGTTGTTGCTTTCTGAATGTCGAGCATAAATAGGTTTTTTAAAGCATCAATTCTCCCCATGAAATTATTCCCTAAATTGTACTTAGAACTGTTGCTTAGTTTGAAGACCAAAATCAGAGCCTTATCTTCACTCTTCTTATACCAGCTCACTTGATAGTTCTTCAGGTCCCCTCCTGTTACACTGCAACGGAAGCTGGCAGCCTCCCCAGCGAGAACAGTCAGTGCCTTGGTGTCTGATTCCAAAATTATATCCAATGAGACCTCTGAAATGAAAAGCCCTAGGTCAGAGAGAATGTGAAGAATTCCCTCTTCCCCAAGGGGACTGGGTGTTACAGCAGTGCTCTGCAATGATACACTCTTTTAGGCCCCCAGAAAATTGCCCCAGGGGCACACATCCCTAAGAGCAAAAGGCCCCAGCCAGTCCTTACCTGCACAGAAGACGGCGAGGAAGAAGAGGGGACAGGTCCTCGGCATGGCTCCATGGGGTGAGGGGTGACCCTGCAGTAGGCTGGTGCTCTCCTGGCTGCCCCTACCCAGATCAGCGGCTCTCTGCCCAGGAGAAGTTTTGTCAGTTATAAAGGTGGTTTGGTGTTAGTCACTTCCTCAGAGAGGTGTGACAGGCTGGCAAGGTTACAAGGTAGGTTGTTAATTGAACAAACATGGGCTACTGTGGGCCAGATACTATTTGGGAAACATAAAGGTAAATGATATGGCTTTCTGCTTTAAAAAAATTCAGGTTACTGGGAAGAAAGACATATGACGACAAAATGTTAAGTGCAAATATTAACTTTGGAGTGTTAAGTCCTGTAAAAGAAGTAGAGACAACGTGTTCAAGGAGCACGGTGGAAGAAAGTTGCTTCTGTTTGCAGTACTCCAAAGAAAAACCCTGAACTGAGCCCTTTAAGTTCAGCAGGACGTTGTCAGCCTTTGTGTCCAGAGGGCATTCCCAGGAGAGAAAATGATCTAAGTAAAGGCATGAGGGCACAAAGGTGCAAACCAGTCTGTAAAATATGGCCATTCTGTCTCCAATTATCTGCTGTGTGGTCCCTAAGACCTCCTGATCTGTTACCTTCTGCAGTCTCACATTTGGCCATTTCCCCACTTGTGTTCAACCCTTTACCCACATAAAAATACTTGCAGGTTTAAAGATGTGTCATAGACTTCCAGATGCTCAGTTTTTACACTGGCTTCTCCTTCTTCCTGGAAAAGCCATACCATTCTTCCTCTCCCTTCTTTAACTCCACCTGAGGGAGGTGTTCACCTGGACTCCCTGCCATGTTGGGCCATGGTACGTATCACCTTGATTCTCTAATAATCTGTTTCCTGCATTGGACTTTAAGACTATTTAGAACATAAATTTTACCTTATTTATATTTGTATTCCTCATGTCTAGCACAAAGTTTGTCAATATTAGGAGCTCACAGATATTTGCTAGTCCAAGCAGGTTTTCTAGACGTCCCAACTCTCAAGAAACCTAGAGGGTTGATTGCTTATTTAGTGAAGACTGAGTTTAGGAAAGAATTTGCCAGCAACTCAGGCAAAAACATGGGAAATCCAGGTCTTTCACCCACTGTTGTAGGTGCAGGGAGAGGCGGGGCACTCTGCAGCAGGTGACACCTTCCACTTGGATAAAACCTGCTAGGTACCTAAAGCAAAGTGCCTCCCACTTGGATAGAACCTGCCTGTAATAGCTTGTGGCTCACTGTGTAGGTGATATCAGTGCCCACATTACCTACATGCCAAAGGAGCACTGACTTTGCAGGTCTACTAGCCCATGGTTTTGAATCTTGCTTTGTGACTTATCCATAGTGGGACAAATTACAGCTTCGAGTCTTGATTTCCTTATAATGGGCTAACTGTAGTTACCTTACAGGGATGCTGTGAGGTTGATATGAGAAACACGTGTGAAGCACTTATTCCTGTGCCAGGTACTCTTTTGTAAGCCCTCCACAGATGCTGTCTTCTTTGTCTTGTCTCTCCTGCTTTGCCATGGTGGGACTGGTGACCTGGTCATAGCTCCTGGCCTGAGCCATCGTTACCAGGGGAGACACAGAGCTTGTCATTTCAAGCCTTGTGAAGAACATTCCTCTGAGGGAAACAGGGGTCTATTGAGCCATGTTAGGCTGCCCTAGGACTTGGGTAGGTAAATGAATGAGCTGAATGGAGCCGTGTCAGAGACACATATGGGCAATATCAATCTTCTGTGCCCCTAGGCAAAGAACTGTCTCTGGCAGCTAAGGATGGAAGACACACATGAGCTCGACCCCAGTCTTCTTTGTCTATGTAGGATGAAGAAAGGATGGGAGGACTTTAAGAAAAGATGCCAAGGTCAAATCAAATTAACCCCATACCGGCTACTATGCATGCCCAGCCTAGTGCCATTCTCTGATGGTCTTTGCCACTCTGGGGTCTTTGATATAAAACATTTACACATAGTATTACTTAAATATAAATGGGAGAAAGTGCCAGACTTCTGATTTTCTCTCATTGGAAGTTTTAGAACATTTTTCCTTTGATTTGAGAATACATCCATTCTTTCCCCATCCTCTGAGTTTTATGGGTGAAAAAGAGACAAATTTGGTAAAGAAAAGTCCTTTCCTTGCTTTATCTCTTACTTATAACCCTCAAACGCCTCACATAAAGCTTTAGTAATAGCAATCTTTTTCCGGTGGGTGCCCAGGATTCACCTCTGCTTAGGCAGGGCACTTATCAGCTGTTTCTCCTATTTCTAATTGCTGTCTTTGCTTTCTGGTTTCTCTGCTCTGTCTCCAGCTGGTTGGATAAGCAACTGAAGACCAGTAACAGAGATGAATGAAAAGAGAAGACACTGTGTTTGTGTTTTCTCTTGGTTAGAATGCTGTGAGTCAGGACCTCAGCTGCCGGGTGTCCTGGGACTGCCTTTGGTAAGTAAGCGATTCTTCTCAGTCTAGCTAATTTGGGCTCAGAGTGCTCAGATGGCTGAAATTAACTTTGTTTCTCTGATTTGTTCTACTGAAATGTCTGGCCTCACTGGTTGTTTTAAAGCAACATAAGATATTTTTGGAAATTAGTGAGGAATTTCAATGGGCATCAAGGAAAACACAGTGTCATTTGTCTCTAAAAAGATTTTGGCTGCCAATAGTCCATCTGTGACTCACTTGCCCAGCTGTGTGGCATCAAAGGAAGCAGCTGCCGAGCAAAACAGCATAGAGACAAGTGGGGCCTTTCTCAAGTTGTAATTCTGCTTCTGTTACTGACTTGGGTCCTTGGGATGTAAATAAAGAAACTTTTTCATATCTATTCTCAGCTCAGGATTTAATTCCTTTAGGATGTCTTCTTGGCTCCCATCACCTAACTCATCCTGAAATGGAAATATTCAAATTTCAATCCGTACTTTCCTCCTGGAACACCCCCATAATTATCACAACCAAGTATCTCTTGCTTCCACAAGCATCTGATTTGGCTACTCTTTTAGACTGTAAGCCCTGCTATAGTATGAGATACACAATGGGAGAGAGCTTGGCTCTCAGTGTGGCATGGAGCACATAGAAAACACTAATATCCATAATTGAATACAAAAATGCCACTTCTGTACCCTGAGATTTATGGACACTTGATGAATACTTGTTAACTAGTTAAACCTTCCTGCTCGCCTTTTCTTCTATGACTGTCCTTCAAGGGTTGCATGGGGAGATTGAAGGGCTTCCAGTTCGATTATGAGTTGGTTGGGGCAGAGACTCTCAAATATTCCATCAGCACCACCATAATTTTTGCTTTGCTTCTTATGGATCACTTACCAGAAAACCTGTCCCTGGACAGTGCTCACCAATTAATGCATAGTTCTGTAATGACTTTGTTCTTCTTCCTCTAAACTTTTCTTTACCTTCAATGGTAGCTGGTTTTGAAAAAGAAGAAAGATGATTTCTCTCACTGGGAATTTTAGCATGGAGTAATGAATGACAGAATCAGAGACACAGATGACAGAGTTGCATTTCCATATTGCATGTGACGTGACATTGGTCTTTGGATGTTGGCTCTGGGAGGAATCACTAAGTAGTTCCTTATTGGCAGAGCATACAGCAGGGTTACCAGAGTTGTAAGTGTCCTGTAGGAAACCTGAGTCTCCCACATTAACATTCAGCAATTCTGGTTCTGAGGTGCCCTGGGGAAGAGCAAGCCCAGGAGGAATAGGGACTCAGTCACTCACCAAATACCCCTGAGTCTCTGCCTGTCCCATGAGGGTTAAGACTTTGAGATCTCACCCCAAAACCAAATTTTACGAAGGATCCTTCCCCAACTCTTTATTCCAAGAAAAATCTCTTGTTTTGTGTTATCCTATGTCCCTGAAGGGCTGTTCTTCGGGGGGTACCAGTGCTGATAAACCCATATGTTGGCTGCAAATGAGAAAGCCAGCAAGACAGCGGGGGATTTGTGTTCCCATTGATGAATAAAACACAGGATCTGAATGAGCAGGAGACCCTGCATCTTCAGAAAAGAAAATAGAGAAGACAGTCCTCACTTACCCCCAGTTCTCAGTGCAGTAGTTCACACCATCGAGTTTCCATGGATGGGGCCTTGAATAAGCAGAGGCTGATGTGGAGGTGTCTTTGTGGAGCCTCCTCACTTCTGGAGTCTTGGACTCCTCCTGACTTCCCAGTTTTTCAGGATGACACAAGTCAGGCATACTGTGACTTAATTTATCTTCTTGGGGGTGGGAACTTTTTCAGGTCATCTACTATGCCTGTTATGTTGATAGAACAAATACTTTACTTAAAAAATACATTCACAAACAACTTTAATTTTACTTTTGGCTTTATGTTTATAAATTATTCCACTAATCTATTCACTTAATGAGTGGAGCTACTGTTGTATTTTAATATCTCATAAAGTCTACATTTGCTTATTTTATGAAGGTCAAGCAGAAATTACTTTCCTCTGTTTTTTTTTTTTTTTTTTTTTTCTACATAGGAAGCCCTCAATAATTTATCACCATCCAGGAAAAAGGTCCTCAGGGCCTTTTGAATTGTATTTCTCTGAATTTTCACTGACATTTAGTTCTTACTAGATAGGGTACTAACATAGAAAATAATGTTTAATTGTTCAAGAGACTGACTGACTTCTTATCAACAACTTCCTAAAGGCTCAACCCAGTCCAACACAGAGGAAATGTAATAATTTCAGGATATTATCACCTTCAGCAGCAAGAATGGTTAATACTCATTGAGTGCTTTCCCTGTGCCAAGCCTTGCTCTGAATACATTAACATGTGCTATAGTTCACTTAATCCCTGCAACAATCCCTGAGGTAGGTGTTATTGTTATCATTATTTTATAGATGAGGAAAACAAGGCACAAAGTAACTTACCCAAGGTCATATGGCTATTGAGTGAGTCAGTAAATGGAAGGTCTGGAATTCAAAACTCAAAAAGTCTGGCTTTGGAATCTGGACTTGAGCTTGGTCATTTTATGATGATTCTTACTGCATGTCTGTCTATGAATCTATATGTTATCTATCTATAAATGTGCTTTACATAAATGTATACATAGATATATAATATTTTTTCAGGCTTTTAGAAATATTGGTAAGTTGTGGGTATGTAATTCAGATGTTAATTGCTGACGTTGAGTTTGCATGTGTGTG